ATTAAAAAATGGAGTACATGGCTAAACAGAATTCTCAGCTGAAGAATATCAAATGGTAGAGAAGCACTTAGTCATCAGGGAAATGCAACTCAAACAGACTCTAAGATTCCATTTAACACCAGTGAGAATGGCTAAATCAAAAACTCAAGTGACATACAGCACATGCTGGAGAGGATGTGGAGAAAGAGGAACCCTCCTCCATTGCTGGTGGTAATGTAAACTTGTACAACCATTTGAAAATCAATCTGGCACTTTCTCAGAAAATTAAAAATAGTGCTACCTCAAGATCCAGCTATACCACTCCTAGGCATATATCCAAAAGATACTCAAGTATACAACAAGGATATTTGCTCAACCATGTTCATAGTAGCTTTATTCATAATAGCCAGAAGCTGGAAACAACCCAGATGTCCCTCAGTTGAGGAATGGATACAAAAATTGTGGTACATTTATATAATGGAATGCTACTCAGCAATTAAAAGGAAATCATGAAATTCACAGGGAATTAGAAAATATCCTTCTTAGTGAGGTATGTCAAAAGCAGAAAGACACAAATAGTGTATGTTCACTTATAAGTGGATATTAGACATATAATATAGGATAAATATATTAAAATCTATACTCCTAAAGAAGCTAAGCAAGAAGGAGAACCCTGGGTAAGATGATCAATACTCATTCAGAAAGGCAAATGGGATAGACTTTGTAAGAGGGAGAAAACAGAAAACAGGACAGGAACCTATCAAAAAGCATCTCTGAAAGACTCTACCCAGCAGGATATCAAAGCAGATGCTGAGACTCATAGTCAAACTTTGGGCATAGTACATAGAATCTTATGAAAGAAGGAGGAGATGAAAGACCTAGAGGGATGGGAGCTCAACAAAGAGAGCAACAGAACCAAAAAATTAGGCACAAGGGTCTTTTGTGAGACTGATACTCCAACGAAGGAACATGCATGGAGATAACCTAGAACCCCTGCACAGATGTAGCCCATGGCAGCTCAGTCTCCAAGTGGGTTCCCTAGTAAGGGGAACAGGAGCTGTCTCTGACATGAGCTCAGTGGCTAGCTCTCAGGCAGACCACCTCTGCCTGAGCAGAGAGCAGCCTTACCATGCTACAGAGGAAGTCAATGCAGCCAGTCCAGATTAGACCTGATAAGCTAGGGTCAGATGGAAAGGGAAGGGGACCTCCTCTATCAGTGGACTCAGGGAGGGTCAAGAAAGGAGAAGAGGGAGGGAGGGTGGAGTTGGGAGGGGATGAAGGAGGAGGCTACATCTGGGATGCAAAGTGAATACATTATAATAAATAAAAAATAAATTAATTAAATTAAATATAAAAAAGAACCAGGCATTCCTTTAGGAAAGAAGAAATAAATGAAAGGGTCTTCTTATCATGGATCCAGTGTCCACAAACTTGAACCAAAACTGAGAAGTTCCCTGGCTTTCTTCTCTGTATCTTATCTTTAAACAAAAAATTTCCCTATTTAAAGATTAATAATAATAAGTGAAAACCAGCTAAAACAGAAACTAAAAAGTTACTTTTCAACAGAAAAGGGGATTATATGTGTATCATGAATTAGATTTTTTGGTAAAATAAGGTCATTGTGTGAAGAGACCTGGTCTCATGAAGCTTCAATCTAGGTGATACATCTCAACAACAACAACAACAACAAAAGATTATTAAATCATTCACTAAGGCAGAAATCTATAATTATGTGAAACTCTAGAGAAACAGAACAGAAGGGAACAAAGAACAGAAATAATGGGGACAGAGCAAATGGTGGATTCCATAGGACATTCAGAGGAGCAACTCTGATAAGCTAAATTTGAGACAGGATGAAGGTGCATACCCCAAGGGATTGGATATTTGTAGAACCTTTTAGATGGAAGGAGAGTCACAATGAGTAGAATTCTACATCAGACAGCCTGTAGCTGTAGTAGTGTAGTAGGCTTGGCAATCCTAGGCAAAATCATTGCAAAGAACATCATATTTACTCTAGGAGAAGTGGAAAATCACTATAGTGTTCTAAAGATGAACAACTAGATCTGAGCAACGTTCTAAATGGAGACCCTGGTTTCTATGTTAAAAATATAATTAGTGGAGAAAGCAAAGTGTGGAATATCTATCAATAATCTAGCTATGAAGTAAACTTAATGGACACTCAGGCAAGGGAACTGCAGAGGATAAAGAGTGGTTGACTTTTATCATAATAGCAATGGGCTGTAGAAGAGGAATTAAAGGTAATCCCAAGGCTTCCAGCCAGAGCATGTGGGAGGATGGCTTCACGGATTCAGAGGGGGAAATAATGATGCCTCACAGAGAGAGAGGAAGATAGAGAGTGCTCTTTTGACAGTGCTAAGTTTGAAACATCTATCTTCTGCATGGGAAGAATTTGCTTAGAGCACAGAATATACATGTCTGGAGTTCAGGAGAGAGGTCTAACCTCGGAATACGTTTTAGCTGATACCACAGTTTATTTGGTGCTGAAACCCAGAAAGAGCCCAGAGAATACTGAATTTACAAACAGATGAGGAAGAAGAGTAGGGAGAGGAGAGCAAGATTTGAGGTCAGGGTTTGGCAACTACAATAATGTACAGGAATGACAGCCAGAACAAGAGGAGAAAAAAATCTGGCAAATTGAAACAAGTATAGAAATGTCAGGAGGGGCATATAGGCAAGGGGGAAAATCCGACAAATGGTTTTAACAGGCAGATACAATTGGTAGCCTTGAAATAAGTAGGTTGTAGAAATGTAATGGGGTGGATAAATCTGAGAAAATGCTTGGTGAAGTTAAAAAAGACTTGGGGAGGAAGTCAGTGACTGCAAGCATAGCCTGCGCTGGAGTTGATGCTAAGAGAGCACATTATTAAACTGAGAAGTTAAGAGTAAGGTTTCCCAGCATTTGGGAAGCAGAGGCAGGCAGATCTCTGGGTTTGAGGCCAGCATAGTCTACAGAGTGGAATTCCAGAACAGCCAGGACTACACAGAGATGCCCTGTCTCAAACAAAACAAAACAAAAATAAAAAAGAAAGCTTCTAAAAGCTGAGATCTGAGAAACAGGAGGATTTACTCAAATGAAATAAAATCCTGAGATGAAAGAGAGAGAACTAACTCCCTAGTGAGTCCCTGAATAGTTGGGCAGGTTGGGGGATATGCTATAAGAGAAATTTAGGGACAATGAAACACGGTGTCTGTGTATGTTTTGCAAAATAAAGACGGCATAAGCTGCTCTTGACACTTGTGACGTCAGGAAATGTGTTCTGATATCTTCGCACATACAATTATCATTTAAAGGCAAGAAGAAGCATCCATGATTTTGAGCAAACATTTAAAGAATGAGAAACAAAGAGAACAAGTATTTAGAAGATGATTAACTGCTAGTATAAGACATCTGGTTGAAATTTATCATTATAAAATTACACAAAAGGAAAATCCATAGTTTTTGTAAATAGTTTTGTTTTTGATAGTATAATACAATGATCCAGGCAAGGAAGAAGAGTCAAGGGTGTAATGCTGGTTTGTTTCAATGGCAACTTGACACAAATTAGAATAACCTTGAGTAGGGAACCTCAACTGAAGAGTTATCCCAATTGTTGGGCTGGAGAAATGGCTCAGAGGTTAAAAGTCATCTGAGATGGCTCAAGAGGTTAAGGATGTTCTTCCAAAGGTCCTGAGTCCAATTCCCAGGAACCATATGTTGACTCATAACCATCTGATGATGATATTTGCTGCCCTCTTCTAGCATGTGGGTGAACATGAAGTCAGAGTACTGAATAAATAATAAAAATAAATAAATCTTTAAAAATGTTATCCTAATTGCCTTATCGATGCAGAAAGGACATCCAAGTGTCTGCAGCAGCCTCAGCAGCAGCCATGGTTTAAAAGGAGAGGTCATATAATCCAATTGGCCTGCTCCTTGATCACCTCCCCCTGAGGGGGGAGCAGCCTTACCAGGCCACAGAGGAAGACAATGCAGCCACTCCTGATGAGACCTAACAGACTAGGATCAGAAGGAAGGAGAGGAGAACCTCCCCTATCAGTGGACTTGGGGAGGGGAATGCGTGAAGAAGGGTGAAGGAGGGTGGGATTGGGAGGAGGGGAGGAAGGGAACCACAGGGAGGATACAAAGTGAATAAAGTGTAATTAATAAAAGTTAAAAAAAAATGAGAGGTCACAATGGAAGAATTATTGTTTTTTAGGCTCTCTCCTGCCTGCTCAGCCCGCCTGCTCGCTGATGAGTTGATTTATCCTGTTGCTGTTGCTGCTGCTGATTCCATCGCTGATCTCAGAACCAGCATCCAGGCTCCTTCACTGACAGAAAACCAACTCTCCAGGGACCTTCCACATTTTAGGGGCCAGACTGAGGCTGCTGAAACATTCAGCCTTGGGGACTGAGGAAGTGCTGAGTTCTAGTCTTCTCTGAGGTGAGACAGCCACTGTGGATCTATACCAAATGCTGAAGAAGCCTTAAGGACCCAGCAGCTACTGGGTTGTCTGCCTTTCAGGTGCAAGAAAACTGTTGCTATTATCTTTATGTAAGTCTACTGAACGTATTCTGACATGTCCTTGTTATCTATTCATTCCTCTCCTTACAGACTAATGAACTGTGTGTATAGAGGTTGTCATAAATGCTTACTATGGAGCTATAACTAAGTACCGGTATGTAAGTTTATGAGAGGGTCAGTTGAATTAATAATTTGTTATGGCATATGAAGAGCTGTTGGATTCCAAGATAGAAGAGGATATGAACTGGGAAACACTAGTCAGATATACAAAATTAAATCTCTAAACGTAATGATGAAAATGCAAATGGGTAACATACAACTGAAAATAAATTATTCAAGACAAACCGAGATATCAGATACAGGCTCAAAGAAAGTATGATTGAATATTCAAAAACACTTAATCAACCAATCTATCATTGCTACATAGCTGTTCCCTCTTATTCTCTAATTTACTTTCCAGATACCCAACACTCCAAATAATGAAGATAATCGCCTTACCCAGTGAGTTTGACTGCATGTGTCCGAAGTTTTCTATACTTTTCTGGTTCTTCACCTGTGCTGACAACATGTCTGTATATTCCTGACTTATAATAGAAGAAATCATCGTGGACTTGCATTATGGCTGAAATAAAGCCAAAAGGATAAACAGCACCATTACTAAACAGCCTTTTCAGAATCTCAGAAGTTTTCCCTGAGCAACTGGTAGTTAAATTGTAAAGTGTGGCATCCAAGAAGAGAGCACACCTGATTTTCTTATTAACTGGTTACAAACTTATTATTCCTTTAAAAAAGAACAATTTCTCAACTACTTATAATATTACTTCTGTACATGTTTCGTATTTCAAATGTCTTTCCAGCCTTTCTTTCGTGCGATCTAATAAGAAACAAAACAAAACAAAACAAACAAACATGTGCAAAAGAATATTATGTCAGGATTTCATCCTTTCTGCTCTGGCGAGCTGAGTCTGTGCTTCACTCTTTAAAAACCAGAGCCAACGCTTAATATAATTCTGCTTCAGTCCTCACTTAGATTACTTCTTTTCTATTTCATGTGGTGCTTTGTGGAAGGGCTTGTGCAATTCAAGTTGAAGACTTCAAACTTCTCTCAGGAGACATGGACTAAAGTCATTTTTTGTGTTTTTTTTTTAATTTGGGACTAGATATGAATATCATGGTAGCTAAAAACAAAGCTTGCCTACCTCAGCTCAACATGCATTTTAAATAAAGTCCAAATGAAGGTCGCTAGCATTTGCTAGATCCCACTGTGAATCTCATGCTGCAGAGGAAAATGTGGCTTTTCCTGTTCTGTTTTTAGCTTCTTTCTTTAGTATTCAGGGCCTTTTGCAGAATGTAAGTGTCATTGGAAGTTGACTCTCCTTTATCCACTATGAAAACATATCCCCACCGGGTTTTAAGACTTCTTAGATTCTACTCTATGCAAATTTCTGATTTCTGAAGCTTTTAGAGAAATGCTCACTGTGTTACTTATTCAAGGTTGACATTCTTTTGTCCCAAAACAGAAATGCTGTAAGTTAAATCAGGCTACCACAAGTAGACAATCAAACTGCACCACAGCAATAACCAAATAGCATTCTTTTCATTCACAAAAAAATTAAAATATTCCCAGTAATTTTTTCTCTCCATATAATTGCTATAAAACTGCCAACTAAAGCAAAGGGTAAGAAGTCACAAAAAGGCTGGGTGAGGTGGTACACGCCTGTAATCCCAATACTTCAGAGGTATAGGCAGGCAGACCTCTACGAGTTTGAGGTCAGCCTGATCTAGAACTTGAGTCCAGGACATCCAAGGTTGCACAGAGAAATCCTGTCTTGAAAAACCAAAGAAGCAGAAGAATAAGAAGAATAAGAAGAATAAGAAGAATGAGAAGAAGAAGAAGAAGAAGAAGAAGAAGAAGAAGAAGAAGAAGAAGAAGAAGAAGAGAAGAAGGAGGAGGAGAAAGAGGAGGTGTAGGAAGAGGAGTAGAAAGAAAAGAAGAAACTGCCATCACGAGTAATTAAAAGGCACCATCTTCCTTTAGTCTCTGACATTAATCCAAAGTGGACAAATCTACAAGCTTGTGGATGTTTAAGAAACTGCTCTGTACTCTTAACACTTGGAAAGCTGCCTACAACAAGCTACTACACAGAGCTGTAAAATATTTGGGGACAAAACAGGGAAGCCCAGGCTCATGTCTGTCTTGACTCTGCCTAAAGCTGACAGGAGATGATTTCTCAACAACCCAAAAAGAAAGTTCAGTGATTTGAATTTTTATTTTATTGCCTTGAAATTTTTCTGTTTCTAATTTATTACGAGAAACTCAAAAAATAATTCACGGCTACAAATTAAACCTCAGCTTCCTACACCCTTAAAAAATTAAGATTCAAATTTATTTTGATTAGAAGCATGGGTTGGAGGGTTAGTATCACAATGATTTAGAAATTCAGAATGATCTAAGCCAACTTTGTTGTCTTGCCTAATGAATTGCTAAAACCATTTAAGAAGAAAATGTCAAACTGGGGGTTGTGAGTTTGGCCTTTAATTAAAATGTCTTCTGTCTTTCAAATTTGTTTCGCAGACACCACTAGACAAAGCACAGAATTTGCACAGCTATAACAGCCAACAAACTTCACATGTTTAAGAAGATAAGAGCCTTATTCATTGGTTGTAATGTTAATGAAATGTTCCAAGATTTTTAAAATTAAGTTTTAGGGTGCATTTAGTGTAGGTTTTGATTTCTTGATAAGTAATTTCAACACCGTTATTAAAATCCATTGTTCTCCTATATCAATACTAATTGAATCAACATTCAGAGATATAGAAAAAAAGAAAACTAGCCAATAGTCCCTCAAATGCATGACAAGTGTTTTTGATTTACGGCCCACTGTATTGATATTATATTCAGGCCCTACACTGTTCACTACTTGAATTCCCATTTCACACCTCATTTGGCTTGTTTCCCTATCCACTTCAGGGAGAATGTTATACAGAAAATACGTTTTGTGAATTTATCTTTATTAACATTACTGTTACACGACAAATTCCAATAAAGAAAAAGATCAGATATACCTTAAAGTCAAAATCTATATCATTTATATTACTGTAAAATCATATTATTTAACAATAATCTACTACCAATAACAAATTTACAGAATAGGTCAAATTTTAAAATGGTTTTGTAAAACACAAAAGTCAACCTACTTTGTCTGAATGTCCTTGATCTAATATAAAAAGAAAACCAATTACTTTGTTTTTAGTAGTGCTCATTGTTTTCATCGATGAATCCCTAAAGTCACTGTACTGAAAGCATTTAAAGATCTAACCTTATGTGTGATTCTTACATGTGAATCTGAGAGTTGCACTGAATTAATCTCTGCACACTGGGTGTGCCTCTCAGGTCCTCCATGAACTCTGAAAAGACTCAGCCGACTTTCCTTAAATGTGTTATTAGTATTGAAGAGATGAGGCAGCCAGCCCTGATGAGACCTGATAGGCTAGGGTTAGATGGAAGGGGAGGAGGACCTCCCCTATCATTGGACTTGGGGAGGGACATGGGAGGAGATGAGGGAGGATAGGACTGGGAGGAAACAAGGGAAGAGGCTACAGAGGGGCACAAAGTGAATAAATTGTAATTAATTAATTACACTTAAAAAAGAGTTCAAGTCATAAACAAGTTTATCTCTTTAAAATAAACTGGAAGCTCGAGGTATGCTTTGATGAGCCAATCCTCTGTGATTGCACAGGCTAGAAGAGTTGAACCCTTATGAAGCTGTCTAAGATTTTCTCTTTTATTAAGCTCCCTTAACATTGTATCATGTAAAGTACTATAGGAATTCATAACTGAAAATGACATTTCATTTGAGCTTACCTTGAACTGGTCCATTTTGTATGATTTCTCTCATAATTTCAGTTTCCTAAAATAAAATATATCAATGGACATCAATGAGAAGAACTAAAGCTAATGTCTGTTGTATAATATGAGCTGTTGTAGAATGTGAGCATTCCATTTAGTGATTACAAAATTCTCAGTGACTTGGCCACTTTCAGCAGACTGTAATCCTTCTGTGAAATGGTCACGTGCACCATATTGCATTAACGAACTTGCTAAAACCAGGATAAGCCCATTTGCTTTATTGACTTTTATTACGATAATTTTGAGGTGAAGTGAAAAATGCAGTAACTTTTATGGAGGTAAAGAAAAATAGTGCAGGTAAGTTAGAAGATTTCGCTAGTGAATAACCATGTTATCTACCATCTTGTGAAAACAAGAGCAGCCACACCAAGCAACATGAGTGAGGCTCAAGGACTTCACTACAAACATTGCTTTTTTAAACTCAGTGTCCCCTCAGTAGGGAGGCAGGCCTTTCTTCCTCCCTCCCTCCCTCCCTTCTTTCCTCTCTCCTTCCCTTCTCTCCTCCTCCTTTCTCTTTCTTTTTCTTTATGCATAGTCACCACAAGTATATATTACAAACTGTGGTAAAACAAATTTTGATGTTTCATCATCCCTATAATTACATCTTGATGGCGTAGACAGACAATGGAACAGCTAACATAATATCATGCAATATATTCTGTTATAGGGACAATCATAAAGGGCCATTGATAAAAACAAAAAAGGAACCTAATCCCATCGGCAATTAAAGGAAAGCATAAAGAAGTTTAGCCATAGGTCAGGACTATTGGATGATATTTTCCCGCATGGAAGGGTGAATGCTCATTTGAGTCAAAAGAATTATCTTCTATGTCAGTAAAGACTATCGAGAAGTCATGCTAAGTCTAGACAATAGAAAATAATGTCATAAATCAATATCATTATGGGTGAGTACAGGGTTAAATAGTGGCAAGACACTAATTTCTGTAAGTTGTAATTTCTATAAGTTGGGCACAAATGCCCGGTACACCAGAATAAAAACATTGGATTGTGATCGAGAGAGAACTGGCGATAACCAAAAGTTCATATATTTCTCAAGTTAGTCTAGATATCTCTGATAAGATTAGGTTAAAATTGGATCAGAAGGAAGCTAACTCTTGTTAGCTGGAGTCTTTTCTCCAGTGAGGGTCACTTATATTGTGGAATAAGGCATGAGATCAATGAAATAAACTATTGCTGCTAAAAGGTAGTGGCTTAGCTGTGACTTGTCAGCTTTATTCACCTTTATATTTTATAAATCATAATTAAAAACAGTGTTTTATGAGGCATTTTAAATTTAAGCCAATCCTTTACATTGCTGCTATAACAATTTAAAGCCTGCTCAAGATGCAAGTTTTTAATGGACACTAAGAACAACAACTATAGCTGAACAGGCAAGGGAGATTCGGTGGGAGATTCATTTGCCACTATGATTGATGTCCTGAGTTCAATCCCCAGGACCCACATGATGGAAGGAGGGAACTGGTTCCTGCCAAGTTGTTTGATCTCCATATACATGTCTAGTACATTCATCCTTAGACAGACACACACAAACACACACAATATATGTATGTATGTATGTATGTATGTATGTATGTATGTGTGTGTGTATATATATATATATATATATATATATATATATATATATATATATAT